TTTACATTAAGTCAACAACAATAAAAACATGTAGTAATCTTTGATGAAGACATAAAATATTTATAGGAGTTTCTAGAAACAAAACAAAAATGCATGTCTCTCCCAGGTTTTTATTGAATTTGAACTCCACTACCAAAAGCAATTCAGCATGTGAACAAGACCAATTGTTATGTAATTTCCCTTAATGCAATGGTGAATAAATGTGAAATGATATTACTTAACTTTATTAACTTCTAAATAACATACAAACAAAATTGGGCTCATGAAAATGAATGGATCATATCAATTATATACAAATCATCTTGACAGAAAATAAATACCCTCAGCAATTTGATGAGCTGTGTACTCTCATGAACTTCCAATGTACTCCTGAAGATGAGGGTAATGACCCAAACTTTGGACTCATAAAGGAGTCTCCACCTCAGCTTGAAGGGGTTCAGGTTCGAAACCCAGCTCAAGCATGGATGTTTGTGTTGTTTGCACACGTTCTCCCTACAGTTAAAAAGCAGTGGTCACTATATGACCAAAAAAATAAATAAAAGTGTCTCCCGTACATCTCAAATGGAGATGTACTGGTTGTTCCATATTTCACAAAAAAATTGTTTGCCACGTCACGTTTTTTCTCCAAAAACTATAGGAATTACATTATATGACAATGTTACCAATATATACAATTATTTCCAATATTTTGAATTTTCTAAATTTATAATAAATGGTCCAAAATTTGAGTTTTACACTGTAGTTATATGTAGAGCCCAGAAATTCAGACACCTATTGTATCTAAAATAGTTTGGCAAAAGGTCATTTATTTTTGCTACAATAAAGGTGCACACAATGAAAAATCACCTTTTACAGGAATTGTGGGGGAAAATTAATAATACTAATAATAATTAAAATTATTTAAATGTTTATTTTTACTTTAAAATTTACATCGGCACACGTTCGTTGCATCTGTGCAAGGGCCAGTACTGAGAAGGAGCGTATAAAATTCCTTGTGAGTGAATGAAGCTGTGGCATAATTAGCCCTTCTGGCACCCCAATTCAAAATCTAAATTGATGAGCCCACTCAAAAATTTCATCCAACTAAAATAAACAATGTGAAAACTAATTGAAAGAAACTTTGTTAATCATAATCAATCCCAAAATTCAGAATGAAGCCCTGCAGACATTTGCTTCGATTCAAATTATATACAAAACACAGAATAGTGCCCCTCAAAACTTTCAATGAAGCAATAAATAATTGAAGTCTCGGGATATCAAATTACTTATTTGGAAAGCATTTTCGCACCCTCATAATAAAATATGTAATTCAAATTTTCCATAACTCAATTCATGGTAATAAACAAATCGCTTTCAGGAGGGTCCTTTAAAGTATATTCTGTGAGACCAAAAAATATTTTGCTTTTGGTAGCCCCAGGTAAATTGCACCTGTCAAAGAAATTAGTAGTTACGCCACTGGAATGAAGCCTGTTGACATCAATTAAAAAAATCCAAAATCATGACTGATACCCTCTTCCTTTCTGATTTTGATTTTTAACTCGACTTCTTGGTCTTGGAGCCTCCAGTTGCATAGAAAGACAAAACACAACAGTACCTTCTTGATGTCCAGGCTTGCTGGTATCTTTCCGGTGTAATCAGAATCAGTGACAAGAGAAAAAAGGAATATTGTAACGAAGATGACCGAAATTAGGCGCAATAATAATAAATAGACATCAGAAGCTAAAAAAAGGCAAGGTACAACTAAAACAATTCCAGAACAGTTTTTCCTCCTCAAGAACAGTATTACCTTTTGATAAGTCTTAAATCATAACAAAAATAATAAAAGACAATATGCCAAAACTTCCAGGCCTTAGATAAGTTTCATAATATTACATTACAAATGTTCTACAATTTAATTATTGAAATTATAGTTTTGTAAATAATGTAACTTCATTTAAAATAACAAAAAATTGTAGAATTGGGTGGTCAGTCAAGCAAACCGAAATGGTACTGCTTGCTGTAAAATAAATTTAAATTTAAGTATTAGGTATGGAGCTGGACGACCTAGGACAGTCCAACCCTCTCCCTCATACCCATTGTAACACCAATAATCGCTTATCTATATACAGGCGAGTCACATAACTTTAGCACCTCCTGGAACTTTTGAACGGTTAAAGTAATTGCAAGTTTTCACGCAAGTACACGAGAGAATGGGGCTAATTGATAGATGTATTCATTTCTATTTTATCAATTGTATTTTACCAGATATTTGAGGTAACTATTTGTTCAAATGAAACTTTAAATTTTGTTTCAGTCTATATATATTCTCATATGTTAGATTAGCATTGTTTTTGGAGTAATTTTGATTTTTTGCAACTAGTGTTAAACAGATATTTTGACTGTATATGTAACTGTCTGCCACACAAGGTCATGCAGCGCTCCTTCTGCTAGAGCACACTTAGGGAAGCGAAGGGATCTTAGCATTTGAAGATATGAAACCAATTCCAAATATTCACAAAACTGTTGCAGCTTTTTCCTGAACTCTGCTATCAATCCTTCCACATTTTTATATTTTTTCTATTACTTAAGGATTGAAAATATGGATTTGTCATAAGTAGTTTGTCTTGAAATAAGATTGTTATTTAAAATTCATTTAAAGGAGTGTCATAAAATACAAATGATAACACAGAAATGAATACACTATCAATTAGCACCATTCCCTCATGTGCTTCTATGAAAACTACATTGCAATAACTTCAACCGTTCAAAAGTTATAGGTGGTGCTAAAGTTACACAACTCACCCTGAATATAAACATGAATATTGGTATACATAAGAGTGGTTAACTCAAACACTGTGTGACCTATCGCTATGAAAGTTGGCCCATCTACGTATATTTTCACCCAGAAGATTTATGTGCTGTTAATATTGTTGTAACCCCACAAAACAAGTGTGTAGTGATGCAGAACAAAAATTAATAATCATGCCAAATGCAGCCTGCAACACAGGGCAGCATGTTTGAATCTATATCGTTAAATAATTCCTAAACAAAGCTTGTAGGGCATTAAAATTTTGAGGCCAAAGCCAACTGCCTCAAAGAAACTCGGTGTTTCTCACGCTGTTATCTACAGGATGAGATCTTCTTGAACATACTATTACATTTTTGCTGGTCCGGCGCTTCTCGATATTACTCCACCTTCTCAGAGTCATGTAGAATCTGCGACTAAATGAATGAGAGGGACAAAGAGAGAGATACACAGTCAAACAGACTCAGAGAGAAAGGGAGGAGAAAGAGGGAGAAGGGAACATTTTCAGGGTTATGCTAGTCTAGATATTACACAGATTCTTTTCTTTCTATGCTGGAAAAAGAAAGAGAATGAAAAAAATTATCCAATATAATACACACAAGATGAGTTGCACGGAGCTTTTTTGAGTCAGGTTCAAAGATGGCAATAAATGTATCTGTCTGTAAATCAGATTGATTAGCAAAATGAAACATTCTATTAAAAAAAAAAATTGAAGTAACAGAAGAAATATATTTATTGTTAAAAAATGCATGATTTCATAAACGAAACTAAACGCAAGAAACTAAAAAACGTAATATAAGTATTTTAACATTTCATTATAAAAAGTAAATTTCAGAAGCATATGAATTAAGATTCAATGAAAGTTCAATGCAAAAACAAATGGGAAGAAACAAAATGAAGGTAATTATTACTCCTCCTCTATTAACAAGCCCTTTGTCCCCTATTTACAATCTATACACTTTTATAAAAGTAATTTACTACATAAATATAAATCATAGTAAATACAGGCCTTGAAATTCTACTCAGTTCAAAGAGAACTTAATGTCAATACAATGTGAATATAAAAACTATGTATACATTCACTTCTTTTCAACACTGACACTAAAAACAACAGGCAATGAAGCACCCTAATAAAAAAGGTACACAGTTTCATACTAATAATGATGAATTCAAAATCTTCATGGAGTCATAAGAATCAATACCACACTTTTCAAGAAGACTCTTACAAATTTCCTCGTAACACTGAAAGACATCCGGTAATATCATTCTATTACACTTTTCATATATATCTCTAGTTATTTATAGTACAAAATGTATTAAAAATATGCTAGTGTGCATAGCATGTAAAAAACTTTCATCTAGTCCAGATGCCTACACAAGTATTTGGCATAATTAAGCCTGTACTACAGCAATAATAAAAAATATACTAGTTTCTCACATTCTCCTTGCACTATGAAGATCTTTCCTGCTATCATGGCACTTGGTTTTCTTGATGAGACACAATTTTCATTAAAGGATACATCTTCAAATTTTAATTATCCTTTATAAATTATTAAACCACTGAATGAACTAGTAGGAACTTTCTACATCACAAAATTCCACATGAATTGAGCATTAACTGAGAATATGCTCCTGCACACCATTATTTAAACCATATAATATACTCATTTTCATAATGAGCAGTGCACTACCAAGTCACTTCGTCTGATGGCAACATCATGTTTTGTTATGTACATATGCTCTATTTTATTTTTAATTTGATATACTTGGTTTTGGAAAGCAAGTTCTGTCTTATCAAAGGAAGTCCATTGACACAATATGTGAATTATATTCACTTAAGATTTCAAAACCATAATTTTTCTTTTCATCTGTAATTAGATTAGAAATTTTGTAGGATTAAACGATATTAATAATTTTAGAAAAATCACAAAATTGACATCAAAAGCAATTATTTTCTGAAGAAAAATGCTAACAGTATTTTTGATTTTTTGGGCTTGGTTTTCTTGAATGGTTGAACAGTATTGGATATTTATGATACAAATTAATTCAGTTACCTCACAACACAATCCAGTAAAGAGAACTTACCCACTGAGTTCTTCACTACAGACACACAAAAACTTTACAGTAGTCCACAAAGTTTTTGAGTCATATAATAATCAATATTGCACATGAAAGCACAAACCAGAGCATTGAACAAAACTTTCAAAATGTCTCCTCACTGGTGGCTTTTAGCTGCTTTCATCACATTTATTCTCTCTCTGAGCTTGCGAGCACACCCAAATAGCACCCTTCTGCGCTCTTCCAGGCACTGAGAACACCTGCCACCTGGATTCGCAACATCCAGATACCTGAAACAGGACTTACTTTGAGGTCTCTGCTTAACACCGGTCCCTTCACAAAACGAAACACTGTGGAAATTTCTGATCAACATGACAACATCTTCAAAAGTGCGAACACAAGGAATTGGCAAGTCGACAGGTTCATTATTAATCAGCGCGATTGGTTTAAGAGATCCTTGGAACACTAGAGCTTTGTCAATCATTGGTTTGTCATCAGACAGATCTGCACGCAACCTTGAGAAAGCAACCAACTCTTTTCCCGAAGACACTTGGGCTCCCCATAGTGGGGTTGGCAATACTAATTGTTTGGCCTTGCTCTGAAGCATGTCAAAAGTTATTTCTTCAAATTCAACAAACAAACTATCGGAATATACATTTGGAATTCTATGCAGGGTTTCACTGGTTTTGTTAGAATCACAAGGAGTCACACGAGTGTATTCAATTTCATCATTAGGCATATTTTGTTCAAATTCTCTTCCTACACTTTTGTGTTTCAAAATTGTCGGGGATGCCTGAAAACTTTGTGAGCTCAGTGTAATGTCTGTCTCCGTGTCTGCCTTCTTTCGTTTTAACACATCAGGAGGAATCTGCCTTACAGCTGAAATTTCTTTCCCTCCCGAATTTCCTCTCTTACGTTTTACTGAAGTGGGAGACACATCAGGAAAACTATGTTCAGTTTCTTTCTCTGCCCTTTTACGTTTCACTGGAGTACCAGAATCATGTAAGTTCCTTTCTTCTGCTGCTTTTTGTGTCACTGAAACTGAGGGAACCTTTGGACTAGCAGAGCCCCTGTCGGAATTGTCTCCTGCTTTCTTGGGAGTTGAAGTTGAAGCTTGTGAGTCAGGCAAACCTTCAACTCGTTCATTCCGGCTTTGTTTAATTGCAGCAGAAATCTGTATATTTCCATCATTTTTCTTTTTGACATCCCGACCATCTTCTGTCGAGGTTCTGCTGCGTTTCTGGGGCTGCCCTACCTCATTTTTTAAAGGTGTCTCCTTTGGCACACTTCTTTCAGTTTTTCTTTTAATATCTCCATCACCAACTGGCACATTAATGGATTTCTCAACATTTTCTTTATTTTTTTCTTTCGTGTGCTCACTCACGTTCGTTGGCTGTGAACTTTTTACCGTGATCGTTTTCTTGGCACTTCTAGTGGAACGAGAATTTGTTACATCTGAATTATTGTTTTGCCTCTTTATATTTCTGTCTGCTGGTGTTTCAACATTTTCTTTTAATCTCCTTTCATCCTTTTTGCTGGGTTTCGAAGCACAATCGTTTTCCACATTTCTATTCTCTCTTGAAGATTCTAGATCAGCATGTATTGTTGGCTTTTCATCGTTATTCGATTCCATATCTTTAGGTTTCTTTTTCTCTTTTGATGAAGTCTCAACATTTACTACAGTCGTAGGCCTGACCTCTCCTTTATTTTCATTAATTTTTAATGTAGTTTTTGATGTTGAAGCAGAACTATCTGAATTCTGTTCCACACTTTTCTTTTGAATTTTACTCACTCCACTTTGTTCTGCACCTTTTTGGGCAGACAGAGTACCCGATGTTGAAGGTAGGTTTTCCTCATCTATCTTCATTTTCTTTGAATTTCTCATACTTCTTTTATTAGAGCTTTGGTCTTGTTTCGCTGGCTTTTCATCAATTCCTTTCTGAGAACGCAATTTCTCTGAACCAGTTTGCTCAGTGCTTTCCTTCCTAAGCAGTATTGAAGTGTCCCCAATTGAAGCTTTTTTACCTGAAATGAGAGGCCTGCCAGTACGCCTCTTCACCTCCACAAAAACAACTTTCTTTTCTGCTGTTTTATTGCTACCCTTCGCTGCATTATCAATGCACACAATTTCATCACCAGATGTCTCTGAAGCACCTTCCTTGTCAGATATTTTTCTTTCAGACGGTACAGAACTTGCTTGCAATCCTAAATGGCATTCAACTGCATTTTCACTAGCTTTAGAGTTTGTGTCTGCACTGTTCTCTGACGATGCTATTTTCTGAGAAGATGTTTCATGTGCTGAATCAGCACAGGCAGATTGGATGAGGGGCGAATCTTCATTTAGTTTACCACTTCTGTTTTCTACTTCATTTGTACTACTACCATTATCTGCTTTTGTTAAATCATCAAGTAAAGACGATTCTAATGAATATTTTGATACATTATCATCCTTGCTGGATTTTACAGTACAGACAGCCAATTCTGGATTTGTAGCCGTCTTCACAATAAAAGCTTCCAAAACCTCTAAATCATCGTCTTCAGTCTCATAATTCTGAATATCTTTTATCTGCTTACCTTCTTCAACAGCAACAGTTGCTACAGTTGCTTCATCAGTTTCTGGAATATTTTTATTAGCATTACCCATTTTCACAAAGTTATCTTTATTTGCACCTGATTTATCTGATAAACACTGCTTCTCCACAATTACTTCCTGTGTTACTTGAGTATCTGCTGTAACTGAACATTCATTTTTATCACCAATCAACTCTTTCTTTCCTCCATCCCCTCTTGAAATTTCACTTTCCCCAGGTTCTGAATTCTTTTCACAATCTTCTGTATTCTTCTTTTCTGACTTGCCTTCAAGATCACAAAGTATATCGACTGCCTCCCGAACCAACTCTGAACCTTTAACAGCCTCTACCTCTGAAACTGATGAATTAGCTTCGCCTTTTAACTTTAACACTTCATCGTTACTCTTCTCTTGAATTTCCATAACTGGATTTTCAATTTTACCTTTTGGCTCAGGAGCCGGGTCATCATTTTTGCCTTCTAATATCGTTGTTTTCTCTGATTCCAAAGCATCAATATCAATTAACTCTGTGTTTTCGGCTTCTTTCTCCTGTGTTATTGCACTATCTACAACTGATTCTGAAAGATCTATGTTTGATGGTTTAATTTGTTTCTTTTCCACACCCACAACTGCACTCGATATTTCGGGTACCACAGAAACCAATTCTGAAGGGGATGTCAAATCTACACATGGCATAACATCTTCGCAAAGACTTTCCCCTACTTCTTTTGCAGAAGCACCTGAAGCATCAGGAACAGCCATTTCAGACACAAATTCCTCCTGTTTGTTACCAGTCCCATCAGTGGATTCAAATTCTTTTGGAACATTCAAGCTAATGTTGCATTCTGTCATTTGTTTTGTGCTGTTGACCAGATCACCCTCAATCTCCCTCACCCTTTCAACTGCCAGCTGCTCTAATCTGTCGAGCTCCTCCTGCAACGCGCAAGCATCATTAGAAACGGGATTCTCTGTATCCAACACGCTTTTCGAATTTGCAAAAGCTTCCATGATCTCTTCCGCAAGCTCAACAGAACCCGTTACAGCAGTAGTAGTTTCTGTGATGGTTTTGGTAACCTCTACAACTGGAACCAATCCAGTATTTTCAGCAACTATGGTTGATTCTATCAGCACTTCTTGTATTTCCTCGGAAAGTCCAATTGAATCACTTAAAACAGGAACATTTATTTCATCTGCTTTCTTAGACTCTTCACGGGGAGGCAAAACTGTATCTGGGAACTCTGACAATACATCAGCAGAACTTTTTGCATTCACCGTATTTTCTTGAGAGTCTGACTGAGTGGTTTGTATCGGCATAGAAGCTTTACCAAAAACATCCTCCAAATCCGCAACCTCTGCACTTTCACTCATGACTGGCAAAACTCCAGAAGTCTCCCCGAAGATTGCCAAGACACCTGATGAACCTGCACACAAGAAAAATCAGAAGTAGCATCGTCAACAGAATTCAAAATCATTTAAGGTTTTCTCACACAGTTCTTTAGTAGGATGTTAAACAACTGAAGATACAGAGTCGATAACCTAGGTGGGTAAGATCTCTGATTCGGAAAATTCTCTATTGATCCCTCCACACAGTAACCTTCAACACCAATGTGCATGCCAAGTCATGCCTACAGAAATCAAAATCCATGTGCCAAACCCATTTTATTTGCACACCTACAGAAAATATTTGAGGGGTCAAACTGAGACAATAACAAACACAAGCCAGATTTTTTCAACCAACATTGAAGTGAATGCTTGCAACACAAGACTGTCCAGAATAATTTTGACAAATGAAGTCAAAGCTTTCATAAATGTTGCGGCTCGGTACTAAATTAAGAGAAAATTTTAAAAATTACCAAAAAATATGACAGTATTACAAGCCCAAAATCTTTTCTTCAGCATAGACTCAATTTAAAATGAAAAGCTCAAATTAAAATATTTCTTACAGAAATAAACCATTGGTGCTTTGCACATTTTTATTTAGTGTTAACTGCATATTCATTTAAAAAGTTGATGCCATTCCATGGTGCACAGTATGTTGCGATACAGCAATTAGGAAAACAGGATCAAGAACATGCCAGAAAATATATAAATCTGCACCCCGCCAATGGACATTCTAAAGGCAAACCTTGCTATCATATGTAAGGAACATCTCACACATTCACACATGAAACTAATTAAAAGAAATCATTATTTTTTACTTGTCTTCTATAAACCAATTTTTGTTTGATATTCAAATTTTAAAGACTAATATTTCAGGTAACTTAAAAATAACATAGAATGCACAGTAGAAACAAGGCATTCAAATTTTAACTTGCATATATTTTTAAATTCACTAAGCACCAATAGTTTAACCCTCCAAGGACAAGCATGATATATATACGCCACAGCAAACACGTTATGACAACAAAATTTCTGCCGCAGTAGGACAATCTTTCTGTACATGCGCAGAAAAATCTGGATGGTCAATTTAATAGGCAATCTTTTTCAAGAAAGTTGTTATTTTTTCCCCCTGCTTAAAAAATTGTGATCTTTTTTGATACACCCAGATCATTGAGACATTGAATTCATAGTCAGCGATGGTGTAATGGTTAGCGCATCGGGCTGTTATACCCAAGTTGGCGAGTTCAAACCCGATCGACGCCATGGATTTTTAAGGGCGAAGAAAACCTTTGTACGCCTTCCTTCGGAGGGAAAGTAAAGCCAGCTGCCCCATGTTAGTAGATTTACTTGCATGTAAAAGATCCTCAAAACTAAATATTGCCTCTGAGCTAAATTCAAATCGCCTGTTCCGTCGCCCCAGAAATACCTCCTTTCCCAGCTAGCTGGTGAATGAAAGGTATTCGATGAGTGATTTTATAATATTTATTGGTTGTTTAACTATATTTATGCATAGTTTAGGTGCTAATTTTGAGTTTGATTTGAAGAAAATTATTGCTTTGTCAACTTTAAGTCAGTTGGGTCTTATAATAAGAACTATTGGATTGGGTCTTTGGATTTAGTCTTTTTTCATTTATTGACTCATGCATTATTTAAGGCTTTATTATTTATATGTGCAGGTATTATTATTCATGGTATAAATGATCTTCAAGATATTCGTCGAATGGGTGGGATTGTAAATCAAATTCTTTTAACTTCTGTTTGTTTACTGATCTTTTACATGCAAGGAGTAAAATAAGGCATTAGTTCAATTCAATTTTAAAAAAGTAATAAAAATTTAATATTACAGCTTCCTGTAACAATAATTATAATATTACAATTATAATATAATAATTATAATATTATTATTATACTATTGTAATTATTATTAATATTATTACTTTTACAGGAAGCTGTGAGGGCGTGAAAAGGTCAGTGTGACGTATACATTACACTTAACCTTATCCATTGCTTTTCACACCTCTCCAAGGTTTTCATTTTTTTATTTATTTTATTTTGTTCAATCACTAGAGATCACAAAAATCAGAATTTTCTTTTTTTTAATCAGAAATAAGGACTGTTTTAGAAACAAACTGCCGCAGATCTACACCTACACTACTATTATCACCAACTGCAGTTACTTGGCAATCTCAAAATTTCAAACACCAATGGGCAATCATAACATGGTTTACTGGATAATTGTAAAAGGAAACCGTATTATACCGCATTATCATTGAAACTAATAATAAATTTGACAATCCCAACATCTCCAGCCCCCTACTTCTACCCTGACCATAATAATATAGTGTTTAAAAGTCACCAGGCACATGCTACTCCCAGTGTGTGTCCTCTTTTGCTCCCCAGCCCTCTCCTAACTAAATTTACAATTACAATTCAATGTTGGAAAAAAGGTGAGAATAGTGAGCTTTGGTAAAAAAAGGCGAGGAAAGAGGGCAGTACAATGATAAAAAAGCAAGAAAAACAAGTTGCTACAAATAATTTAATTAATTTTACATAGATTTTCAGATTTTGATAGCTTCTGACTAATAATGAGTCATGGTGCCAAGAAGAGATGAAACTCCTAGAACCAAACAAAAGGTCCAGAAAGGAACTTGTGTTCCCTTCAGGTACTCCAAAAACCTAGTTTTACAGGTCTAGGAAACACAGTTTCCCGGTAATGCACAATGGTAAAATGTGTTGCAGTGTATTATTTGTTGTGGGTTGTATTTGCAACTGCAGATTTCTTATTAACATACTCAACAAAATTCTACATTTTTTACCTAATATGTTTGATGCAATGCCTGAAAGGATTTCTCTATTCAGCAGTAGGACATTTCCGGGGCTTTGTGTTAATGAGATCCCAAAAATTGTACAAAACAACTTTCTTTATTACACCATGAAAGCTAATTATATCATGAAAGGATAAGACTGCATTCTTCATTTCTAGATACCAAAATTTAATTACAGAGGTATATGAGTAAATAAGGAATTCTAGATAGCAATGAAAAGAAAACTAATCAACATGTTTATTGTGGTCCGATAACAAAACAGAATTTACTAATACATCAATATTAGAAAAGAAAGAGAATTAAGTCTGAAAGAAAGAAAAGAAAAAAAAAAGGTGTACTTCAGAGAGCAATGAACTAGCAGAGCAAATAAGACAATTCTTGAAGAACCAAAAACATTTTAATCGATTCAGAAATGTCAAATTGTTTTTGTACAGGAGAAAATATAGCACCATAGACTCATAATGTAACTTAGTTGGGTAGATCTTTAAAGTACCAATGAATGTTTAGAAAAAGAGTAAACCACTAATAAAACATTTCAGACTGTTTGGATGTAAGAGATATCAAATTTTGCTATTATATTCCAGAATGCTTTGACAAATGACTTAAAAAGAAACAGGATAATACCATGATATTCTCAACCTCTCATGTATCTCAAAATGAAGCCCCGTCTTCTCATAGCCTTGTTTCGAGTTTCAGTTGAGTGGGTATAAAAAGAAGCCTTAGAATCAAAAGTGACCCCCAAGTTAGTGACATGGGGATGAACATTGTCAGGAATCACTCCCTTAATCGAGAAATCAAACTGGATGTTACATCTCCTCAGAGAATAAGTCATAACAGTGCTTTTAGACAGACTCAAAAGCATGTCATTATGATGACCAATTCATACAGGTTACTCTGCATAAGCAAGGAATCCTAACGATTGGCACATCTCCCTAAACATTTTTGCTTCATCTGCATAAAGTAGAATCTACCCACACTCCAAAGCCTTTGGTAAGTCATTAATAAAGATGTTGAAGAGAATTGAACCAACATGAGTCCCTTGTGGATCTTCAAATGGTATTTCACATCAAAAATGAATTGCCATAAATTTGTAGGTACTGCTTCCTGTGCTGAAGGAATCTCTCAAGCCATTAAAGAAAAAAACCACCAAAACCAATCAAAACAACTTACTCACAAGTAATTCATGGTTCATATGGTCGAAGACCTTAGAGAAGACCGTGTAGGTGAGATAAAGTTGTCCGGTTGCCTCTATAGCGTCAATCGGTGCCTTCGGAAAACTAGTTTGTTGAAGTAGGTCTTCCTTTGATAAAACCATGTAGCACTGAACTAATCAAACGGTCAAGCAGTGCTGAAATAACTTTTTCAACCATATTTTCAATCAGCTAGAGGATTATACAGCATCATAGATTTTCATGGCCGAAATCAATATCAGAGTTTCCGGGCTGGTAGGCCATGATCCAGTTATCATTGAAGGGCCAAACATATCGTCCATGACTACAGTGGAAATCTTCAGTAGCAACATGAACGCAGTATCTGGGGTGGTGGCTGGTTGGCGACTGGCAAGTCAAGGACATCAAGGTACAAGTGACAAAATGTCTTGAATATAATTATAGTAATTTCTTAAAAACAGTTTTGTTATTTGAATTTGATCCAATTATGGATGAGCACACTCGTAGAGCGAGAAAAGCAAAGTAACATTTTGAAATGTTAAATTTTTGCCTTTTTTCATACATTTCCAAGAGTTTACCTAAAATTGGACATATACCAATTTCTAAAGGAACCTGTATTGTCTGTACAACAATCTTTTTAGCAAGGTTTAAGAATTAAGAAATTGTTAAAAAATTAACCTTTGTTATACAGAAACTACTCAAATTTTCAAAAAATTATATACAATCTTATTTCAAGATCTATCTTTGAAGAACAGATTCCATTCAAGAAAAAAATCTCCATTTTCAAAATTTTAGTGTTACACACTAAAAATATTTTGAACTTTTTGCACTCAACAAATAATCATAAATTTTAATCAAAATGAGATCTTTGCCATTTTAGGGTCCTTTGTGGTATGCAAGAATGCAGTTAAATAAAAAAAATTTGGGGCAATTTTGGAGAAAACTTTAGAAATGCTGAGCATTAATGTAAAGTACCCTCAATAATCAAAATGTTTCAAACTCTTAGATCCATCCCAACTGATTTCAATTGGGGAATATCAACTAGAGAAAACTGAGTGAATGCATTAGACAAGTGTTAACCAAAGATGGGCAATGGATGGATGGTATTTATCCATCAATCAATTTTTTCGATATCAAGGATCTGGCTATACAACATGTTAGAGAAAGTAATTTCTTTTATACAATTATTCAAAAGAAATAAATCAAAACTGTTCTTTGATGATGGTGGCCTAGGGAGTTGTTGCGAAAAAGAGATATTTTTTAACAGCAGACTTTAAAAGTTCAATCAAAGGAATAGACTTCGGTTACTAGAATCAACATATTCTGGACTCTCCAGAAGATTCCACAGCCAGTTGCCAACTTCCCTTAGGACAAAAAGCCTGGACATGGCTAGGAGGGACAAGAATCTAAATAGTTAAAAGAGATTTATGTAAATAATTACATCAATACATTAAAGAAAAAAACTGCTTTAAATGCAAATATCTTATTTTAATCGAAATTTTAAATTCAAAGCATTTCTTCAATAATGATGAAGCTATATCAATTTGTTAAAGATTTTCATTTTATTAATATTACTTCTAAAAGTTATCTAAGTCAAGTATAAATTAAATTCTGTTCAACTACTTTACAATTAAATTCTGATTTGATGACAATTCCTTTTGCCAAACAACCTTAATTATTAAATTGCTGTACTAAAAGAAAATACAAGGTTGAAATTTCTCTCTCTTTCATCCTACAAATAACACATTATAAGAGTATCAAACTTGTTTCATAAAAACTGATTATATAATAAATATTTTCGAATTACTTCTGAAGAATTTACCATAAAGAATCCATTGAAATATTCACATCATATGAATGGAAAGAACCAACCTGAAGTCATGGAATCAAATACCAAACATCACTTCTACAAATTGTTCCTTTCAAGAAAAAATGTCCTGAAGTATCACACTGCTCTGTTAGAGAATGCTGTGTAGCAATGTTTAAGTAGGTAAGCTTATTCTCCGATTTTAATTTCTTGGCGCATCGTGAGTTACAAGAGGGAGCCTGTTATCCAATTGAGATCTTCAATTTCAAAAACTGACATCAATTGGCATAGTAAACAATCAGTAGAGCCCACAAGTTCCGGCATTTATTTTGCAAAAATACATTTTCTATTCATAAAATGTGTGTTCATGCTTAAATAGAGATGCAAAAGGCATGAAAAATATCATCAAGTGTGTATAGTGAAAATAACATCTAAAGGGTTCAAATGTCATGTGTTGGGATTCCTTGTGGCTGAAGAGAGCCTGCCATCATCCATGAAAGAAATCTAAGAATCGTGATTGGTATCATCTGGCTTTCTCCAAGCCGTTTTTAACATTTTCTGACCCTCAATTTCAAGTTCATCACTTCCTGCCTGATATCACACCACTTGCAGAAAAAGATGAAACATCCACTGTTGTTCAGTGGATTTTAGATTGATTACCAGTTGATTCAAATCAGCACCAGAAAAAAAGGGGAGGCGGGGGAAGAAAATGGTATAAATAAGGCAGAGTTTTTTTAACAGACATAGACAACTAGTATAAGCAAAATGAAAATCCTCCAAAACAATTTCTCAAGCACAGCCAAGAGATTCCTATTGTTAAAATTCTTAAAATCATAATCTTAACAGGGCATATTGCCTAACTTCTAGACTAAGTACAAGCATGCAGCAACATCTAACTATTGGCAAATATCCATCATTTATTACATGGTTTCTGTTCTACACTCCAGTTCTTGTTTTCCAGTTTTATTTTGTTCCATTATCCCTCCAATTCTCTTACCCCAAAAGATGATCTTAATAATACACATTAGTACTATGCAGAATTCCTTGCTAGTGGAATAAACACTAAGCAAGAACATTTTTTTATACAAGACAACATTGGGCAAATAATGCCCATGTCAGAATCTGAACCCACAACTTTCACACCAAGGTATCAAGTCTGATCAAATAACCCCAGACACGTACAAGTCTCAACAGTGCAAAAAATAATCAGTTACAGACACGTGAAGGTTTTGATAAATACATCACACTTTTACAAGAGAGATAACTTACATTATTGACTGACATTTGATACACATAAACAATCCCATGTAAACACCCTATTAACTTTAAACAAGGTTGCCACTGAGGTGGTCGAAAATGCACAATTCTGAAATACACTGATACGTCATAGATTATTATAACACACCTTCGCATATGAAAGGAAATGATGGATCCTCGTCTGAATTCATATTTTACACCAGATGCCTACAAAAGAAAACATGAATTACAAACAGGAACTATAACATTCCTTGTGGGTAGAAAAGCTTTTCCAATACTTACAACCCTAACAGTATAAAGGAAATTTGAGAAGTTATCTTAAATTACCGGAACCTTCACTGAACGTCTTCATCGCAACTGCAAAACGGTTACTTATTTGGGCCCAAGATATGAAAATTTTTAATTTAACTTACCAAGAAACAACTAGCTGATGGTGTCTTCTAAATATGCAATTTGAAGAAAAAATTTAAAAATGTACAGACAGAATTTCGATACAACACTGTGATAAGCATCGGGGTTTCCGTTTTCTTTTTAACTTATAGTTACATTTTTGAAAGAGATGCCATATCTTCAATGAAAACAAACATTCACATCTTGAGAAACAGTTTGATAATGTTAACCACAAAGTACAGTAATGCGCTTCAACGCCCTTTCTCGACTCTCAGCACACTACACGGGTCCAGATAAAATCGTACAGAATCGGCGCAAGACGCAACAACGCGATGCAGCAACACCGCGAAAAACGCACAGAGCATCCAAAGACTTTGTTGTTCTATGCATATATACTCTTTGGTTCTATGGAAAAACGCTTGCTCCTGTCACAGTTATGTGCTCTATATACTCTTTGGCTCTTGTCGTCTTATGTTTCCCCCAAAGAGTGTATAGCGAACCGGCAGAAGCAGCACTGTGCATGGGCACAGTATACCGTGGTACGGGTATGGGAGTGAAGAGAGAATTATACTTTGGTGTTTATAACGCGGTACGTCAAAGCCTATTTCACCAATTAACACACAATTAAAACAGAAAGTCCCTGGCAAGACAGATGGTACTTATCTAATTCCGAGCTTCCTTACAATTAAAATTTTTGGCATTCAAGCTACCGATTGGATGACTGTGACCTCCTCTTTTCAGCTCATTACCTTCTTGTTTTAATTGCAGTATATATGACATTGATGGGGCTGTGTTGTGTGTGATGTGGTGTGATGCAGGTGTGATGGTTACATGCGGTATTTGAATAAACAACTATTAATAAATCGAAAGCCGCAATTACAGCATACAAGAATATAATATACATATTTTATTGTACACGTCATATTTAATTATTAAATCATAATTTTAGGTGATCCAAGAGATGGCCTGAATGAAGGTGGCTACAAAAAGTATCAAGTAACTTTAGATAAAAATTCTTTCATTCAAAGACACTTTGTAGAAAACATTTTGTTCTATGAGAAGGTATAAGGTGAATAACAAGTACTCCACAAGCATTACATAAAATTATGGTGCAATATTTTTTTTATAGTATTTTGTGGAAGTATGGTTAAACATTTATTAAAAGGAAAAGATAATACGATTGTGACCTGTGGAAATAAATCAAAGAAAATGTAGACTATATAATATCAAGTTAATAATAAAATTTGCTATTTTGTCATGAGCTTTTAAAAAAATTTAAATTCTAAGTGATCATATATAATGAAAACTTTTCCTGCAAAATCTTTGCTAGAAGTGAACCAAAAGCCAGCACATTGTAGATCTACATTTTCTGTGTCTTCTGCAAGAAAACATGAGACAATCAAGAAAAAATTTTGTTTATACACACTATTAAGAGATTAATAAGAGCTTTGGTTTTCTTTTCTTGTTATAATTTATTAGTTCACTGTAATTTAGTGTTGATTTAAATTGTAATGTTTCTTGTTTTTTACAGACACTGAAACAATTAAAATGTTCAATTGGTTGAGGTACTGGGTTCGCAGACATACTAAACCTATTCAAAGAACCACAGCAGAAAAATGGGATTTACGAATGTCATTATTGTATGGATTTCTGACTTGGAATGCTGCTGGATACATCTTGTACTTGATATTTACTAATCGTTCAAATTGGCCTGAGATATATGGACCAAATAATGAAAAAGACAAGCGAGCCCCAAGTGAAAAATTTGCTGACATTTTAGGTATCAAGAAAGCACATGTTATACAGATTTCTGGATTTAGGAAAGTTGGAGAGTTTGACATAGATCGAACAAAAGAAAACTCTCTGGAAGTAGAAAAATCCTCAAAAGTAGCTGAAAATGTTGTCACAGACTAGTGCTTTTTAACTCAGAGAAACTAATGTGGTAACGAATTAGAATAGGAATTTGAGTGTTAATGAAGTGAAGTGCTCAATATTATATGTGTAACTAGTCTCTGAAATGGGGTTCTTTGAAAGTCTTGTATATGAAATCACATTAAAGAAAACATTTGTGCTTGTACTTATCTGCATAGCAAATCATTTGATTATCTGACCAAGACATGATTCATGGTTTGTAAAATAAGAAATTTGCAACAAAACATCATAAAGTAACGTAACTTACGTTGTTGTTTGTTTTTGTTTTTTTCCTTCCTTTCTTTCTTTCTTTCTTTTCATATTGTAATTGCAGTTTTATTAAAATGTGCTTGTAAAGTGCTATCAACTGTGGTTTGACCACAGTAGGTCGAGCCTACTGAAGGGTGAGCACAACACTTACTTCAAAATTGAACTATATATGAAGATATAAACATACTCTCTTTATTATTTATACATTAAGTAATTTCGATGGCACAATAGTATTATTCTCGGTTGAAGTCTAGTATACGGTACAACTTACAGAAGTCGTTTAAGCCTGCACTTCATGCCGCTCCGGTGGCAACTTCGCAGTTTGAATTCTGGAGGCTTTCTTTAAAAAGAACTTTTTCATGTAAGTGAATTAGTAATTATGTGGTGAATAGATTCAAGGGTGTTTATAGTGAATGTGATGGCCAAAGGCCCAAGCCTCGCCGTGACTTGGATCCGGGCGAGCAAAGCAAGAAAGTAAATTGGCATTACAATGCGGTGGGGACAAAGCGTATGAAGGGCAAGCCATGAAAATCACTTATCCATAAGTTTTATTCATTTCTATCAGAGTGCGCAGCATAATTTACAAGAGGGCATAAGGAGACCCCGCCTTGCTTCTCTGAGGGTGTACTGTGTACCCTACTTTAACCTTATTCTCTATATATTTATTATTAGAATTGTGATTTTTATGCAATATAAAACTTCAAAATATGTGTAAAACTATAAAATACGCCAAAATGTGCACAAAAATGAATGAAATTGTGTAAACACATTATCTAACGAACCACAGTACCTACTAAAATAAAAGAAATTACTTTTGGATTACCTATTTTCTATGAAACAAAATAGAAAATGCATGCCTATTGTTACATGTAATTGCGACTAAAACTCGATGGCTCCTGCTTACCATAAGATTGGCAAAACACAATTTTTCCATCACTTGTAAATATTATCTTACTAAATTTCACAATCCAAAATCGTAATTTGGCATTTCTGATGAGAACTGCATTTTGTGCTGGCGAACAAACAGATTGCAACTGATTGCAGGCTCAAGGCAAAATGAGAAAGAGAAGTGAAAGATATATTAGGTAAGTAGCAACTGTGTCTACAATATCAGTGAACAAAGTACATGATTTGAGAGGGCTCCTCTTTCAGATAAGCATGAAATAGGGCTGTGATTAATCATTCTTTTGCAATACAGGGTAGAGTATTCAAGGGGATAAAGAAACAAGAAAATAATTCAAGTCATAATCTGAATAACTTAATTTTCACTATTAACAGATTTTCACCTTCAAGAGTTAAATCAAACAAGGAAAATAATAAATGTTCCATGCAATTTGCAATCTTTTGCCTTATTGTTTGTGAAGTATACAGTATAGCTCAAATCTGGAAAATAAAGCTGAAAAGAACTAGCGTCTCCCATTGGGAAAGAAAACCGAACTCTGGACTTCTACAACAGCTGAAGGAATACGCAATTGCCTAACAACCTGATTCCTATTCATTATTGTGCTTGATTATTATTTTATACTTTTTTACTTAAAGGTATTTTTTCAGACACTTTTAAAAGAATCTTACTGATCAAAAATATGGAAAAACTTATTGTCATGCATAAACAAATTAGTAATGCTATAAGAAGATCTCTGGCCAACAGGAGTCTTGTCTTTTGAGCTTAATCATTTTTTTTTCTATTTGGGATAAAAAAAAAAGTACAATTATACCTTTTCTGGGGGAAGGGGAATACATTCTGTCACTATTTCTGTGACAACGTCCACAAGTCGAGAACTTGGTGTAGAATTCATTTATGGTCTGAAAGTTGTGTCGAGTCGTGAAGAGGACCGCCAGGTAGCATCTCCGCATACGCGTTCCTGCGGCACTACCCAGATGCCAGAATTGGGAAGGATTTAGGACAGTGGTAGGGGTTTTATGGCGCTTCAATAGAGGTTGGACATCGTATCTCAGTATGATCTGAGTTTAGCCAGCGTCTTCCCCAAATCTGTGGGTACAGCTTGTTCCAATATGTAATATATTACTTCCTCTAGAATTGTGTCGAAAGAATCTGTTTGTGGATATATGTGTAATCATACTTTTATTACATGTTCATTTAGATAGAGTGTAATTTATGGGCAAACGCCTTGGTCGTTGTGGAGACATAAATGCTCAGATATAGGATGCTTTGAATGAGTTAATTAATGGTAAGATACGTTACGTAATAAAATTAGTATTTGTAAAAGGAAGTGTGGGAAGAACTTCGACAAATTAAATTGGGCGCTGAAGGTAAGATAATACAAGGAAGCAGCTACGTAATATGGGAACCGGAAAGAACCGAATAGATAGAAAGTATGCATTGATATAATAAACTGATCATGAAAACAGGAAATATTAGTGAAAACAAAGATAAAAGGCTTTTAAAAAGGTGGAAATATTTAACGTAAATAATGGCCCCCGACTCCGCCCCGCCCCCCCAACCAGGGACCCGCTGTCTGCCACGACCTCCGTCGTAATATACTCCCTGGCCTCCGTCACAGCTGGCCTCTGCCACCGCCTTCGGTGTCAGGGGGCCCGAAACGTGTATCTCCGCTGAAGTCGATTTTCCGCAGTAGTTCTCTATACAACGTGTACATTATTCCGTAACTTGCGTACGCAAGAAAGTACCTTGTGGTATCAAAACGGCACACACTTTCTCGCCCACAGTAATAGTTACGTAATACTATTTATACCACAAATTCTCTCCAAATCATAACATCTCAAGTCGTCTTTTTTGTTTCTTATTACAAATTGTAGAACATTTGGTGCGAAAATGAAATATTTCTAAGCAAATTTCAACACAAATTTGACACTTATAACAGCTTGTCATACAGCTAAATCATGTCTGAACGATGAGACGTAATTCAGCTGTCTTCTGGCGCGGAATGCTGTTGTTGCATTCTAATCTGATATTCCCTGCAATTATTCTTTCATATATTTTAAATAGGTTTTAAGAAAAGAAATTTAAGAAACAAAGAAATATGATATAATGTACAAATTCTGACTTTCGTAGCGTCCAACTGTTAGAAATTACCTCTATTACGTACAAGAAATGCAGTGAATTCGGATCGGGCGACACTGTTTTACGCCAAATTACACAAAATGCTCATATTTTTGAAAAACTGAACATGACATTCTTTTAAGATCTGTTTTGATGAATAGTTTTCATTAATGATTAATTGTTAGTGATTCCCGGCACATCAACCACTAGGGTCATTAGTCCCGAAAGTGTAGTGCATTTTTGCCCCGGGAAGTGGCGATGGTCTTTCCCCGCTGTTGGGCGAAATCCGGGGTCGACCTACCGTCGCCTACCGGGGTTTCCCCCTCACCAGGTATCTCCCACCAACGCGGCACCGTCCCAGCCAGGACAAGCTCACGGCATGTGTGGCACTATAGTGCTTGTTAGTGTAAGTTTGGGCGAGGATAGGACAGGAAAGAGGTAGAAAAGATCGCGCGCGGTCCTTGGCCCGTTTGTTGGGATACTGCTCTGGCTTTCGCCTGGTTTTGATAGGAGAAATCACGGAAAACAAACGATCAGAGCAACCGACCGCTAGAATTCTCCACCATAAAGCGACTGAATTCGTTCTAGCTGACAAGCTAGTGCCTAAAATCCTGCCACTGTTGGGACTTGAACAAAGGACCTTCCAGTCAGAGGGACTGCAACATCAGTAGATGCCCTGAGTCATCTCTCCTGGTACATTTCATTTAAAAAAATTATCTTCGTTGAAGTTGTAGGAAGACGCTGAAAAGAATTTGAATTTTTGCAAATTTCAAAAACAGAATTTTCAACAAACATGAGATATGCACCATTATCTTAAGCGTCCTATATTCTATCCGAGGTCAGAATTTAATAAAATTGTTGGTGCCATTTTTGAGAAAAAATTGTTTCAACAAAACCTATCTTTCAACAAAATATATCTATATTTCACGCAAAATTACGCGAAAAGTACACAAATTTTCGAAAAATTGTACATGTTCTTATTTCATAATCTATATTTAAGCAACAGATTTTACTAAGAGAAAAATCTCAATCTACATATGTAGGAAGACACCAAATCAATTCAATTCTTGCAATTTTGGAATACAATAATCAGGGTTTGTAACGGAACTTAAACCTACACCATTCTCTTAAACGTTCTTTATACTACGCAACAACAATATTGTATCAAAGGAGATAGAGCCATCATTTTGAAAATTTAGAAAATGTCCCAGGGGCTTCATGTAAAATTAAAATATCGATTTCAAATTCAAGGACTCGTGACATTATCCACATTGATTGGGGAATGTCAATTTTGGAGAAAATAGTCTGAACGGTTTAGCTGCTAGCGTTGTTCAAAGATGTTTTGCCGCCAAACGATTTTTCGGTATCAAGGACCCATAAAACTTGGATTCTGGCTACACCACAAGTTAGAGGATATTTTTTTCTAAATTTAACTGGACTTATCCACTTTTCCGTTACAAGGACCCGGCAATAAAAGCTTTTTTCTGCCGAAAATTCAGCGTTTTTCGTGCAGCATTACATAACTTTCTTTTAGATGATTGGTTGCTAAGCGCGTGTTTACCAATGTAAATAACAAAAAAAATTAAATACAGATGAAAAAGAAAACGAGTATGCTATATTTTTATTTGATTCTGCTTGTGAATGCACCTCATTGAAACAAAAAGAAAAGCCCCTTTCAAGCGCTGAACTGGAATTCTCATTTTTAAATGATAAATATAAATCATTAAAAATGCTGGATAATTACCCGACAATAAAAGTGTTTATTCGTTAAAACATCAGTTTATGTCCATCAGCGCCAGATGAACGTGTTTTCCTTGGCATGTTTTATACATTCGCTAATTAGGGGTTTGTCTGATGTTTGAAAAATTAGTCTTTAAAAATATTACGTTGAGTTAGACATATTTTGATATTGGTTTTTATTGGAATTTGTTTATTTGAGTTTACATGTAAGTATACACTATACTACACAATAACTACGAGTACTCAATGTGATCAAAAGTATCCGGACACGTCCAAAATGGTGTTATGTTACAAGGGTCGTGATTTTCATAGAGGGGACTTGCGCCCCTAGATGTTTTGTGTGGCACTATTACAGCACAGGCCTACGTTGATGTAAACACCTTATTTCTTCCCCCTGTTGAAGAGCAATTTGGGGATGGCGATTGCATATTTCAACACTATCGAGCACCTCTTCATATTGCATGGCATATGATGGTGTAGTTA